ACTTCCTTAGGGATCGTGTAGAAAAAAGTGACTTCGTATTTGAGCATGTTGATAGCATAAATCAACTTGCAGATATTTTCACAAAACCTCTTGCGGTCGAGCCTTTCTTCCACATCCGTAGGGAACTTGGTGTTCTCGATATTTTGGATAGGATGCAACTGCATTAGTTGCATTAATCTTATTTATACTTTTACTCTCACGAATTATTTACACTCTTGTATCAAGTTACTTGTGAGGGAAAATTTTCATCCCGCATCATATAGGTAATATCATTCTAACTCTAACTCTATTCTTGATAACTCAATTCGGTAAACTTGAAAATTCTTAATTCCTTGTGATAAGTGCTTTTCAATCTTTATGATGTGTGATCTATGCTTAGGTGGTTATTTATGTTTTACTACTGTGTCTTAAAATTCATGAATATGTGCAAAATTGTTGTTTATTCATTTTTTGAATTATGACTTACTTTGTGTCTGTCCTCCTTTGAACATCGGTATGTAACTATACTATATGATTGGTGTCTATTTATTTTTTATGCCTTTCTCTAACACCCCTTTATGTGACTGTTTGTTATAGTTATTGATTTCCAAAGTAGATAATGATCTAACCTTACTTGTTTTGATTGTTGTTATTGTAACCTGTTGCTTTGACTCTTTTTGATGTTGTCAGAGGGGGAGAAGCATGCGGAAGCCAAGAACAGATAATGATATGAAAGCCATACGAAACGAAAGGGTGCACAAAGACAGGGGGAGAAATCTCCAAGATTAACATTCTGATACATGGTGCTAAAGACAAGTTTTGCCATCATCAAAAAGGTGGAGTATGTGAGGGCAAGGTTCCTTCAATAAAGGTTTCAATGATGTCAAAACTATGTTGGAAATGTTTCTAGATGATATGATGGACAAAGTAGCATGAAAAGTCTTCAAGAATTGGTATTTTTGAAAATTTATATTCTATGAGTCGACTCAAAGAAATCTCAGGTCGACGCATGATTAAAAGTTGCTCCTTTGGGAAGTCTCGGGTTTGCTCACGTCGACTATGTGGTCGACTCATCCTGGAAGCAATGTTTAGGAACTATGCATCAACGCATACCCCTGGAGTGGTCGACGCGTGGATCTTGTACTCTGTCATGTGGCATCTTCGAGAATGCTCAGGTCGAGTCATCCTTCTACATAGATCGACGCATGGATCGTGAACACTATCATATGGCACCTTCGGGAATGCTCAGGTTGAGTCACCTCTTTTGCATAGGTCGACACATGGCTTGTATACACTGTCATATGGCACTTACGAGAATGCTCAGGTCGAGTCCCCTCTTGCAGGGTCGACCGCTCGCTTGTAAAAACAGTTTTTCAGTCTGTTAGTTTAGGTCTTGACCTTATATATATATATATATATATATATATATATATATATATATATATATATATATATATATATATATATATATATATATATATATATATATATATATATATATATATATATATATATATATATATATATATATATATATATATATATATATATATATATATATATATATATATATATATATATATATATATATATATATATATATATATATATATATATATATATATATATATATATATATATATATATATATATATATATATATATATATATATATATATATATATATACTTGTTTGGTTATTTCATTTGGTTTTAACAAGAAAAGTGAAATAGATACACAAGGTACTCATCATCTTCAACCTCTCACTCATCCAATGACAACTACACATAATAATTTATGTCGATCAAGGTACAGAGTGTGTTGACAACGTCCAAAGTAGAAGATTGCGATCTTGTTCAGGATGATTAATTGTGGGTTTTTATTGAATAAAATATGAGGGTTTTGTCCTCCAATATCATTGGGATTTGGGGGGTTTTGACAATTCTCTGCTTCATCAAATTTAACCGTGCTTAAGAGATTAAGGAACCATGGATTCGCTCAACAAGGTAGCTACGATCGGAGGATTTTGAAAGAAGAATTGGGGTCATCATCTTGCGATCAAATCAGCCGAGCAGAGGGTTTGAGAAACGGTTTGGGTTCTTAATAAGGTAGCTACAACCGGAGGTTTATCGAAGATTGATGACATACTTGATTCAAATTGAATCAAGGGAAGAGAGGAGCTTAGCTTTCAATTCAACATTTTGAGTTTGAATTATGGTGATTATTTTCTATCTCTTGTGTAAACTTTGCAATCATAATAGCAACTATCCTAATTCTAGATTCTAGAATTATGGGAAGATGTACCCCACGCGAGGACGACAGGGGGAACTGCCTTAACAAATTGCGTGTCGTTTTTCTTTCTCGCTCTTTACCGTTTATTTGCAATAATCTGAAAATTTGCTCTTGTGGTTCCAATTGTCCTAATTTGTAGTGCCATAAAAATGTTACTAAAAACTATAATAATCACTTTGATTGCTATAATTGATTTCAATACTACAAATTAAAGTAGATTGAACTTGGTGAAATTAAGCACACAAGTGTTCGATAAAAGTCAAAAAGTGGAAATTTGTGTATTTTATTCTCAATATTTCATTGGAAGTAATTGACAATAGTTAAAGAGTATAAGTGATCAATTATAATTGAGTTAAGTGTTAATAATTCTCATTGATTCATTCCATTCGGTTTTTCGCATATCCATTCTTTTCAATAAAGGATCGTTTCAGACGAGTGTATCCGAGTAGCTTTCATTATGCTTCAAGTTTTTCTTAAAAACTGATTTTAAAAATCAAGGTATCTATTCAACCTCCTTCTAGATACGTCGTATCATCTAACAAAGTATGTATCAGTGTAATTATTATGAACTATAATTGATGATTGTTGAACTTGAAATCTTGCATGATATATCAATTATTTACTCATGATTATATGCCTTATTATATTGTCATGATATCTCACTCTTACTGTTTGAATGTTGCCTCTACGTGGGTAACATGCAGATAACCAGGAGTAGTGTGAAGTCGCAGAGTCTAAAAGAGGTTGCTCTTTTTATTTTGAATTGGTGTCATTGCTCTGATACGTAACACCGGGGGGATGAACGTTTTCTTGTTTTATTTAATTGATGTTTTTACTTTGGAGTATTGTGGGAGTACTATAGACTCTATTTTATTTGATTAAAAATGTTGTTTTGCAATGAGTTAAAGATGTTGAAAACAATTTATGAATTTCTTTCGTTGCATTAATAAAGTTGAAATTTGAAGACTATATTGAAATATTGTCGGTTCATCCGAAATATGTGTTATGTATCCGTTTAATTATAATTGAGCAAAATTTGAATATGTTGAATGATGTGACATCCTATTATTGGAGTTTTATTTTACTGATTTTTTATTAAAATTATCGTTGGGGAAATAAGGTGTTACAGTCTCGCCTAGTGTTCCATGTGCGAGGAGATGGAAGGGCAAGTAAGCCATTCCATGAGGTTTAATAGAGTACCTGAGGAGGCTTGACCTCTGACTGTAGAGGATGTCGTCTGAACACCATATATATTTCACCGACCTTATTGTCCATTTGATGATGCTTTTTTGTATTCAGGGCATATTAGGTGGGACAACCATGTGGCTAGACACTTGTCTGAGAGGTGTCTATGACAGTATAGTTATATTCAGGGCATCCCTTGTCCAGTTCCAAGGTTCCAGCTGGTGGCATTGACATATGGTTTTAGAGTAACATCATCAACTTTTCCCGTGAGATCATGAATAAACCAGTTGCGGTTTATCATCCTTCACAGTGTAAGGATGCATACCTGGAGTGGTATTAGAGTGTATCATACCCTCAGGTCATACCACTAGCTAGGGCATCTGATGTTTTGGGGCCTTCACGTTCTACGGTTTCTGCTGAGCTGCCACCACCACCTCCACCACCTGCAGGTGATTAGGACAGTCGCCTACAGTTTATTACAATTCATTTAGATAACCTCATGGGTTTTATAAACCCTGATGGTTAGATTTATACAGTACAACAAACATAAACTAAAAACAACTAAACATGAAAATCTATGCACTACCAGATGATTCTGGATGTTTCAACATGTTGATTATGCCGTCGACGAATCTTGTTATCTGCTCATCCAACTCGACCAGACCTTTAGTTATTCTACGAAGAAATGATTTCCATACGGCCTTCACATCTTCATTGGTCTTCAACTCAATCAGGTTGTGTTTCACCCAACCATCTGTATCAATCCAATATTTCCGAAACTCGATCTTTCTCACTCATCTGTTATCAGAATTAAGCAGTAATTCATTCAACTTTTCTTTCAAGTTGGCAAAGAACGTGGTGCCATATGGAAGCTTGAATTCAATAAAAAGGTTGCTTCCATTGTAATACACTTCTGACTTAATCAAAAATTGAGGAAGAGACATTTTTCGAGATGTCTTTCTCTATAACATATTCTCTTATTTATACAAATGACGATGCATTCTAAACCACACAAATTTGTCGGTGCAATCAGAATCCTCCAAAGATGTCGAAAAATCTCAAATTTCAGTATATCTCAAATTTTTCATATTGTCTGATAAATTTGAAATTTCCGAAATATCGAAAATCACAAATACACTATCAAAAATTTAAACTAATAAAAAAATTTGAAAAGGTTTACCAGAAATTTTCCCAATACCAAAAATTTCATCAGAAAATTCTTTGTATCTATTCAGAAGAAATATCTCACCAGAAATAATTCTGAAATAATAAAAATTAGAAGAGTGGCATGTATTTGAGGAGTATGATGTTAAATCCTCGATAGCAAGGAAGCCACATAATGGGCCGTGCATAAAGTTTCAAAACTTGAGCCCATTAGTTGCTTTCCTTCCCTCCTCGTCCCCCTCAATCACCACCCTTTCTCTTCCACCATAAACAAAAAATCATCATCTCTCTGTAGCTAGCTCTTATGGCGGTTCTTCAACTTCACCTTTTCTTCATCTTCTAACTTCCAACTTCTACAACCCGACAAACAACAACTCACCATGAAGCTCTCCCTCAAATTCCACAACACCAACGAAAACCAACAAACCCAAATAATGACAGCAAAACTCCCAATCACCATTTTCAACAATCCCTTACTTTCAACCATCACCGCCACAGGCAACTCCTCTTCCGATTTCTCATTCTCACTCTCAACAAACTTCCCAACAGGTCCAACCTTCAAACTCTCTTACACTCCCACCACAACACAGACCTCATCTCTTCCATTTTCTCTCTCCCTCAAATCCGGTCTTGGTCTTTCCGGTTCAACGCATCATTCCCCTCTTGTCTTCTCTGCCAATTTATCACTCTCTACTCCTTCCTCTTCTACCCCTCTTCTGCTTCCTTCTTTCTCTCTTCACTTTAAACCCCAATTCGGTCATTTCTCTCTCCATAAGACCGTTTTATCTGATTCTAACTCTAACCCTAACCCTAACCCTAACACTAACACCAAAACTGTTTCTGATTCTAACCCTCTTTCTGTTTTGCCTCAAATCGGAAAGGGTTTTGTTCCTTTTCAAGATGGATGTTCCTCTGGTTGGCAAAATTTGAACTTGGAACCATATGGTCATAGAGACGACGACAACAACAACAACGTTGTTGCTGGTTCTGTTGTCCCAGATGGTAAGAACAGTGAAAAATATGGGCTTTCTCCTTGTGTTGCTGTTATGGCAAGAACTATACTGCCTGTGACACAAGGGTTGTTGTTGAAATTTCGATGGGGTGTGAATTTTCCGGGGAATAAGTCGGGTTTGAAAATACCGTATTTGACAGTGAATAAAATTGGATTGGAGAGGATGGATGAAATGAAGAGGGATGAGTTGAAGAGTGAGAATCGTGAAGGTGATTTGCAGATGGTGAAGGATGTGTGTTTATGGGCAAAAGGTGATTTGGAGAAGGTTGAGAAGGAAAATAAGGAGATGAAGAGAGTGTTGGATGAAATGAAAATGAGAGTTTCTAGTGGTGAAGGGAAGCTTTCGAATCCAAAGAAACATCTTTCAGGCGAGGGCTTTCAAACTCAAACTCGGGGAAACAATAACAATAACATTGACAGAAAGAAGAATGAGAAAAAACAATCGAACATGGCGCAGAATGTTGTAGTAGTGAGTGATTTAGAGTCTGAATTGGAAAAAGCTATAAAAGCTGCTGCGGCCGCAGCTGCTTCTTCTTAGCAACGACTCAAAGGTCATTGCTCGGCTTCTGTTTCCTGTTTATTATTGAAAAGTTATAGAGAATTCTAAGTGTAAATGTGTAGTAATCACATTATATAGTGCTTTGTATTTGTAAAACATATATTGTTTACTCTTCATGCAAGCAATAAAAGTGATAACAAGTTTGTATTATAAATCATACAAATGCATAATACCTAACTCTATGTGTTGACAACCCTACAGTTCCTTCTTATTTCTCCTGCATCTTCGGTAAGAACATTGATGTTTCCCATCTTAATCATAGACTTAGCAAATGAAGCAAAGAAAAGTTCTGAGGCATAACTCAACACCCGTTCCCTGATCTTTCCATCCAAGTCTTGGTTGATCAAAACATTATCAGAACCTAACAATCCCTTTCCTTCAAGAATGTTAATAAAGTAGTGGTTATCAAATCTTTTCGGTGTTCGAAAATCAAGGGGTGCAAATTTGTTGTCCCTTCCTTTAACAGGACATATTGACCCTAGGATTCTTCTGAAGGTTGTGTATCTTTTGTAGCGATCATGATCATAGTCATAGCCATAGTGATATTCTTGTTTTGTTTCATAGATCCTTTGCCTGAAACTTACACATCTTGCCCTTCCTATAGTATGGCTACCTGTTTTTCCCCCTCCAAATCAGTAAGAACTCTTGTTATCAAATCAAGATTTTAATCGCGAGTTTGAAAACTTATTTTCTAACACCACGAAATTACCTGATAGAACAACCAAGTCTTCAATGTCAAGACCCTGTTGCTTAAAATTGTTAATTAAGGTCTGTAAAGAAGAATTTGGAGCAGGGATGAATAGGTTAGCTCCACTGAAACTTGACTCAAGGGAATCCTTCCTCCCCAGCCACACTTCCCATCTTAGTCCTCCTCTCTTCAAAACAAACAATAGTAATTATTGCCAAACACAAAAAAAAAAAAAACCTACTTGGTAAGAAAGAAAGTTATGAATGATTTGAATCACAACTTCTGCATTCATGAGCGATCATTGGATCAAGATTAGACTGTATGGAAAACACATATTTTTTTAATCTAAAAGATCTAGCTTGAAGTCTCGACTGTCTAATCTTGATCCAATAATCATCGATTACCTCTGAAAATGTGAGATTTGTGACCGCAAAAAATTCCAACTATATGTTAGAAATGAATTACAAGTTAGCTAAGTTTCTTCGTTGCTAACTCTTAACAATTTCTTGTAACTAAGCATTTCTCAACACTATAAGTTGCTTCTTGTTGCCTTAGGCATGGTTGATTTTATGGCGACCCAATGAAAATGTAGGAAAATCCAATTGAACTAGTTGTTTAAGCCTATGCAAAGTGAAATAAATGATAGATAGAGAGACGAGTACCAATTCAACAGCATCACGAGCAGCCATAGCAAGAATATCCGCACATGAAACAGTGAGAGGACATTCCTCTTCAAGCAAATACTTTATCTTGTCAATGACTTCAAAACCGCGTAAAGAATTCAAATTCGGTCCAGCTTGTTTCTCACTCGTCATTCCCTCAACACTATCCAAAAGTACTGATGCATCACACCCCTTATTTTCATTTCAACAACCAACAATACACGACCAAAAAAAAGTTAAAACGAATAAAGAATAATCAAAAACACACATAGGTCTAACGAAGTAATTGGTGCACAAGTGTCTATAAGTATTGTAAACTTTGAAGTACGATAATCGAACACTGAAATGCTTATATATGGTTAATTACCATGACAAAACAATCATGGAAGTGTAATCGAAGTAGTGACGCAGCTAAACGTGGATCTTTATAAATTGCGACTTCCATGTTATGTCTCACTATCTCTTCAGCTAAGGGACACTTTTCCTTGTAGTACTCATGAACAAGAAGTTCACTACTCCTTAAAGTTAGAACATTAGACAGAATAGTAATTAGGATTAGTAACAGTTTCAAAAGCTCCATTGAAAGAAAATGGTGAAGAGATGGAAATGAGATGCTGCAGAAGTCTTAAGGTAATTGTACTTATAGAGTAGAAAGGTTTAATAATGATGTTTTGTTGCATTATTTATTGGTGTTTGTTTCTACATTTTCAAACCAACCTTGGGGTGGAGAATTTTGTCAGGTGCTTTTTGTTTCACCTAGAGTTATTTGGTGCAACCAACTTGACCTATTGTTCTTTTTTTAATTCCATTTTGCATATAATTTCTTTCATTTGGCACTTACTTTAACTTTTTTTAATGTAACAAGAACATCATATAAGTAATCAATCTGCTACAAACCAGAAAAAAAATGCATGAACAATTTAAAACTTCATTCCATAAAAATCAATATATTAGGTTACATAGAACTTGTCTATTGTTACAATTACAACAAAACAACCAAGACACTTGACTAATGATGAGGCCAAAATTGAATAATGGTTTTTACTGTGAAAAAAGAAACAAAAAATGTCAATATCTTCTTCCTATATACTACATTGTATAACTATATACAACTTCTTGTTATTATCACTATTTCATTGGCTTCCTCCTATGTAACTGACGAAAATTCACAAAATGTTCTAATTTTTATTCTAGTAAAATTGACCATCTTCTTCATCAGGGAAAATCTCAGGATGAACAGCTGCAGTACTAGTGAAATTTAGCGCTCTTCTTAGTTTGCGATGATCGAATACTTCAACTTCAACCGAGAAAATTGAACTAACCGGTCTATGATCAGAGAGCTTAATTTCTGCACGTTCGTATTGTAGTTGCTTTATTCCTTTTCCTAACCATAATATACGATCACACCTGCATGCATAAAAACTAGCGATATCAATATTTGTCGTTTAAAGAAACATATTTATTATTATTGTTATAGATACTGAAATTACCATGCAGGAGCTCTTTTTTTCTCGCCTTCTTTTGGAATCTCACCAACATATCTATCAGAGTTGATTTCATATTTGTAAGTAGGTGCGAAATTTATCAACCCTTCTTTCCATCCTTCAAATACGCGTCCGACACGCAGTTCGTTGCTTAGCTTCATACAAATTATCAGGTAAAGTAATAGTTAGTTACAAATTATTTAATCTAGGACAGCAAAAAGAACAGAACATAAACATATAAATATGGAAACTTGTTTGTCACTGCTCAGAAATAGTTGAGATATCTGATCTTATCCAATAAAGTAAAATAAAAAAGTTTTGGTAGAGAGTCAGTAGCCAAGATAATGTTTTCTATGATTCAAATCAATTTTAAGGTTTAAATATGAAAAGATTCATAACTGAAGTCTTACCTGATCATAATACATTAGTTCATCCCACTTTTTTAGAGCCACCAATTTTCGAACTTCGGAGTCTAACATACTGATCCGATAATTCAAATCTCCGAACCAGAAAATCTGACTGTTAGCAATAAACAAAACACGAATTAATATATGCTTTGTGCAAAATAAAAAACTGCAATGGAAAAATTCGATGTATAATAAAGCTTACTCGTGTGATGGTATTGTTAGTGCTTGATCTGTATCAAAGACGGACGAGAAACAAGTGCGTCGTAGAATTTCATTAACATCAGAGTTTCGTCTTTGTTCAGCTCCATCTTTCGTACCAGAAGTCAGATGAGAACAAACAAAGCACATACGCGACTGAAAGAGTGACATGCTGATTGAAACCGAACCCTGCATCAATGAGAAACGTGTCTGTCAAATCTAATCATAGGCCAAAATAAGAAAATTGCATCACTAAGTTCACGAGTTTGGACCTCGCTGATAAAGGTCGGTCGTTGAATACATACATTAGATTCTAATGGCCGACCTTTATTCAGCGCGATGATTCGCAATATAAACATGTGTTACCTTGTTTCCCATGTAGCCCATAAGACCAACTCCAACAGGAGAAACCTTCAAATTATTAATGTGTCTTCTCAACCTCCTTTGCACCCAAACAGATACATATATTCCCACCATTTGCTTGCTGATAATCCGAACATACCTCGCGTGCGATTTTGTCGGGTCTAATCCGTCAGCATCTTGGTTCTCAGGTAATTCAATAAAAGCATCATCATCCTCATTAGACAACATCTCAGATACATCATCTAAGGAATCAACTACTTCCGGTATAACTTGTTGCTCTTTCAATAACAAGCCCAAATTTCCCAAACTATGGTGCGAGCGTTTCAATCCACCACCAGCACCAGCACCAGCACCAGCGCCGCTGTATATGAAAGCATTCTCATTCAAGTCAAAGCCAATTCTAGCTGAACTACTTAGTACTCTCCGCAACTTGGGATTCGAATCAACAATTTGTGAGATTGCGTCTAACGGACGTTCAGGCCAATCAAGATCAATACCATAAACTTTCCTCACATGTATATCATTTCCTATACTAATTATGTTATTCGCTTCCAACTGTTGTTGCAGATCATATTTCTGAACAACAGTTTCCATATACTCATCATTCATCATGGCAATTGGATTATCACCGTCTATAGTTTCGGCTAGAACATCAGCAGCAGAAGAAGTTCTCAAAACCGGAGAAGGAGGCGCGCTATGACTTTTATGTTTACTGTCAGGCTCAGAAGATTTGTTTAAAGATCTTCGGATGATTGCTTCCCATTTTTGGATCGGCGTATTATCCTCGGCTCCAAGTACATTTCCAGCATTCAGTGGAACCACTTCCTGAAAACTGTGATTAGCCATAAAGAATTTAACTGTTAGAACAACGCAAACGGATAACACACGATATTCGATCACAGATATCAGCAAATTGTGACTATGTTCGATGAACTACTCACCCGAAAATGTAAATATCACTCGGTTCTTCGGCACAAATCCAGTCATCAATATCAAGATTCTTGGATGGATGTTTTCCAGCAACATTCCAAGATCCAATTGCTACCTTCACTTCCTTAGTGTTTATGTACTGAGCACGCAAAGTTTCCGATTTTCCTCTTCTGTGTTTTGTTTTGTATCCTTTCTTAAAAGATGCATCTGAATAATCACAAATATGAAATCAATTCTGAAACAAACTTAATTGATAGCTGAAATGGAATGAATCCTTACCTGGTATTTGACTTGAGAATATAGATTGAACCCCTTGTGTTCTAAATGGATTATCTCCACCGCCTCGCACTTCCATTTTCGATTGTTTAGGAGAGAAAACTGTATGAGAAATTGATATGAATATGAATCAAAAAGTGATAGAAAAGAATCACAGGAAAAAGAACTACATAGAATAGAATCACTTTGTTACCATCATCTTCACTCTCAGTTTCAGTATCAACTTCATCTTCACTAAAATCATTCACCTTAGGCTTAATATTAAGCCATTTTTTCATCACAATAGAAGGCCAAAAAGCCTACAAACCAAAATCAGCAACTAAGAAAAACAACTTTAACAAGTTACTCAAAATCAACTTTTTTTTTCCAAAGCTTACCTCTGATCTTTTTCCTCTTCTTCCCTTCATTGTTTCAAGTCAAAGAGTCTATATAACCAAACAGAACCTTAAAAAAAACAGTTGTGTATGCAAGAGTTTGAGAGAACACAAGCTCTTAAATATGAAATCAATCACGGACATATACTGACATTAAATATATAAATACACCAAAAAAATGATTTAAAAAGTACAAAAAAAGAGATTATTTGAATGATGATGAGATGGAAGATCCTTTTCAAGACCAAATAGAAAAAGACAGAAAATATGTGAACATAATAATATCAGCAAGACACACACAACCGCAACTTGTAGAAGAAAAACAATATCACTGGTCCATGCACAATGTCACTATAGTGTTTTTTTTATTATTATTATGATAATAACTAAACATTATAATATTAAACACTATTAAACATTATTAAAACATTATTAATAGTAATTTGATCCAACTAAACAAATGTCAATGTCATTAAACACTTGTATAACAATTTCTGAAAACAATAATCATCACAGACAAGTAGCAGAAAATTATCATATTCGTTATTGACAAATACATATTTTGATAGAAAAAGAATGGAAAATATGTGGCATGTGACCCTACAAATATGTGTTTGACAAGGTAGGAACAAAGAGTTATTATGAATTAAAATGATTATAATACTAAGCAAAAGTTGACTCTTAGAGAGATTAGCTCAAAAGGACTAAACTAAGATTTCATCATGTCAGTGACAGCTGTAGATCAAATGGTTTGTTAATCTGTCTTCTGTCCAGCTTATTTTTCTTCTCTGATTATTTCTGCAATCACGTACACAACTTACAAAATGACAACAAGCCATGCAATGAAATAATAAAAATAGATTTATTAATACTATTATGTTAGAGGAAAAACAGAAGAAGGTTGTAAATGTACTATGTAGGTCCAATGTAGTAAGCACTATATGTGAAGATAAAAATTCTGAATTTTCTATGTACTAGTACAACACAATCACAACACAACACATCCTTATCAAATAAAAGTTGTAGCGCATTTATGCCGACTTAGATGAAATAATTACGCGCTGAGGAAGAGCAAATGGACTTCTCTGACTTCAACTTTGACTATGATTTGTTTATGGCAGTGCACATGTTTGGACTTTGAAGGCTATAAGTATATTCTGTTCATTCAATTTTTACTTGTCATGCTAGTTTATATGAAATTTTATGTTTTTACTATTTACAACTATTCAATGGTACTTGAATGAGATAATATAATTTCTTCTCTTTTTATTAGAAATTTTGGAATTTCTATAAAGAAAAAGAAAAAAAAATGATGTTAAATTTATTTTTTTATATACTATAAGATAACTTTGAGATATTATTTTAAAAAATTATGGAAATAAATTGAAAATAATTTATAAAAAATGTGTACTTAAAATTCTCACAAAATTTAGATTAGTGGAGAAGTTTAAATAAACTAATTCACATTTTATTGATGTCTGGTTCCGTAATGGATTGCTCAAGCGGGTTAGTTTAGGTCTTCGCATCTCCTTCTGAAAAGAACCTTGG